ACCCACCCCTGCGTGTCCGCAAGGGGTCTCAGTTGCGGGTTTGAAATAAGCATTTTAAAATGTTTTCAAAATATGTCTGTCACTTTGGAGAAAATCCAGGAGTCGCTGGAGGGATTATGGATCCCCTCTGGCCTGGGAACGTCTCGGAGTCCCCCAGGACATGCAGGGTGTCGCTGGGGAGAGCGGGGTCTCTCTGCTGCTGCCCCCGCGACCTGATACCGGATAAGCGGCAGAAAACGGACAGAGGGACAATTTATATGTTCGTCTAAATTATTACATTTAAAATTATAACTCTAATTCAAGCAGGATAGCCTATTGTCAACATAATTATGGAGTGTGATTTATTTTCAACTCAAAATATCTTCAAACTAACGAAATATAAAGTTATTAGGGTGGAAAACCCGTCTGGATAACAGCAGACTGACTGCTTGTAAAATATACGACAGGTCTGGACCACTCGTAAATTTTGTTCGTATCTGAAAAAAATCTTAGAATATGAAAACATTGGTGAATGCCACAAATTCTCCTAAATCACTCATACGCACAACTTAAGAACAAATCTGTGCGTACGAATGGTTCTTGCCTGAGGCCCATTGTAGTGAACCTCACTCTATCCTAGCTTGTGAAAGCCTGAGCCTTTCGAGGATGCTCCATTTATACCCAATCATGACACTCAGACCTGTTCACCAGTGGAATGATCCAAACAGGTGGTTTTTGAGCATTCCTCAACTTTCCCAGTCTTTTGTTGACCCTGTCCTAGCTTTATTGGAACATGTTGCAGCATCAACAATAAAAATTAAACAAATTAATTTATCTGTTTAAATGTTAAATATCTTGTATTTGTAGTGTATTCAATTGAATATAGGTTGAAAAAGATTTGCAAATGATCATATTCTGTTTTTATTTATGTTTCACACAACATCCCAACTTCATTGGAATTGGTGTTGTAGATTGTGCAATAAAATGTACATGTACAATGCACATTTGGTTTGTTGAATTTAAAATGTATAAAGGAACTCCTTGTAATGACCTTATTTGAACCCTATAGTTGTTGGGATCTAATGAATACAAAGGGTGAGTAGATAAAAGTTATCTAAATTGTTGGTTAGGCTTAAATAATACTTTAATCTGTTACTGATCAGTTGGATCTGTTAATGAGACCTTAAACAAGCAGGAGTTGTTGGCTTCAATTACCAACAACAAAAGAAGGGATGAACGCCTGATTTACTAAAGGTTTGCATGTACCTGTATAAAAAACACATGCAATCTTGATAACTGGCACAAAGCTAATTTATTAATTGTGTGCATAGAGGACATATTGTCTATCCAGTAGCCAGTTCTGAGCTGCTGGAGGAACTGAAGGCTGATTTGGTTCCAGTCACAAATAGAAGCCATGCCATGGAAAAACTCCATGTAACACTGCATTTTTCCTGTGTCTCCTTCATCCAACACCTCCATCTCCAAGGCTTCAAACTTCTTTTTTCTTATAGCTGCTTTGCTCTCCCAAACTCTCCATGGTGACAAGCAGCAGCACCATTGATATTTACAGTGGTTTGCAAAAGTATTCATACCCCTTGAACTTTTCCATATTTTGTCACATTACAACCACAAACATAAATATATTTCACTGGAATTTAATG